CAAACTCCCTGTGCATCAGTTTCCTCCTCTGTGAAATGAGGGTAATGATGGTACCTTCCTCGTAGGGTTGGTATAAGAATTAAATGAGTTAATGGATATAAAAGGTTTGGAAAAGTGCCTGGAACATGTATTTGCTTCTATATTAATCAAGTATTATTATCGTTAGTTACATGAGACTCAGGTTTGTTAAGCAAGAATACTTTGAAATACCTCTTAAATATCCTTCGAAATGACTTTTGATTATCCTAATAATGTGTCATATGTAAGACTGAGATTGTCGTCCAAGCAGAATTGTACAGCAAAGGCTTACTTTTATAGCACAGGAAACGTGGGCCAGCTCCACTTGGGTGTCGACTTCTCCCACTCACTCCTGGAGCGAACTGAAACAATTAGCTATTTCTACCTGCTGTTTGTCCCAGGAGGCACCACTGGGAAATCCATGGGGCTCTGATCATGATTGTGAATCATTTTTTATTTTCAGTTATCATGAGCCTTTTTGTTTGAGGGTGTGGAATACAATTTGTGGACTACTTCATTGTATTTATGAATAGACAAGGTTTCCTTGAAAAAGAACAACCATTCACTCACTAAGTTTTCTCACTTACATACCTTGGTCTTTCCTCAGTAGATTCTCATATCCTTTCCATCCTATTTTCTATCCTCTATTCCCTACCCACCATCACACACACACACACACACACACACACACGCACACACACACACATACAGGGATGTATGCTGTGTTTTCTCCTACCTCTGATTACTGGACCCAAAACTAAAGGGAGAGAAAGTTTAAGTATCATATTTGATTGAATTGGTTCCAATCTCTTTGCCTTAGAGTCGTTTTTTTTTTTTTTTTTCAAGGCCTAAACTCTAGAAAGAAGTGGAAAAATAAATGTAAACCCAAAAGAGAGTTCTTGAAAGATCTGAGTAATTGATGATATGCAGATGCATTCAGTTTGTTCTAGTTTTCGTAAAATAACATTTTGGCTCTGATTATAAGTTACATATATTCATTATAAAAAATTTAGGAAAAAAGAAAAGAATGTAGGATATAAAAGCCATGTGTATCTTCCCAATCAGCTGTAAGTGTTAGCATTTTATACGTAGCCTTCTAGGCCTTTTCTTTTATACACACACACACACACACGCGCGCGCGCGCTTTTTTATGGGATCACAATGTACACACTGTTTGTAATCAGTTTCAGTTTTCAAATAGTAAACATAGCCAAAAATAAATTTCAGGAAAGCAAAGAAAAAAGATCCTTCCTTTTGGGCTTTTCCTCACTAATTTTATCAATTTCCTTTTCCTGTTCCTTTGCAGTTTACCTTTCTTTTATTTCCACCATGTCCTGTTGCAACTGGTTCCTTGTTTCCTGTGTCCTGTGGTAGGTGTGTAGACCACCTACCACACAGTTTTTGATATATTACTAAAAATTTCCGAATCACACAGTTGGTTGTAAGCATGAAGAAATTATTCCAAGATCAAGGACTAAGAATTAATATTATTATAATTGACACCCTCAGTTATTAACTAGTTATATGCATGCGCATCCAGATGTTAGCCATACTCATCCAGATAGCAGAACTTGGCACCTTATGGGGAGGAGACAGATTCAGGCTGAGTGGGAAGCTTTAGCTTCACATGGGATCTTTTTCTCAAGGGAATTCTGCCTTCTCTGCTCTTTACCTAGTTTCTTCCTGCGTTTCATCTTGTGATGGCATCAGTAAGTTTCTGCCTTCACAGAAGATAGCCTGACATTTCTCATCTACGGTGATAGAAACTGAAATAGTGGTTACTATTAATAAATATTGTGGGGTGTACATTTTTTGTGTGTGTATGTGTGTGTGCTGTTTTGACTGGAAAGAAACAGGGAAGAGCCTTCTAGAATCCTGGATATGGGTCATGGTTACATGGATGTGTACGTATGTAAAGTAGATATGTGTACTTTACTGTTTGATGTTATCTCTCCATTTTTAAACAAAATTCTGCTTGATCCATCCTCTTGCCAGGCTGTCTGTGCTTTAGGCTAGAGATCTAGTCAAGATCTAGTAAATTTCAACGACTGCAGACCAGCCATTGTTTCAGCCATAGAGACCTCTAGCCTTTCCAGTTCCTGGACTGTTCCACAGAACACCAATCTTCAGAGATGCTTCCAACAAAATGAGTTTTGTGGTCATGCAAGCTTAGGCCATGACACACAATCTAGACCCTTTTGAAAGATGTACAATGTAAATTGAAATATTAAGGACTCTGAGAAGTCTTACAGCAAAAAAAAAAATCATGTTTATCCCAACTTGTCCCAAACTTACATAACCACGAAACCCTTTAACTAATACCTACTAACACCTCATTAGAATATCAGCTTGTGTTTGGAGAAAGGCTCCACATGCATCAGGTAACATGCACGCCCCCTGCTGGTTTTATTTGGTATGGGGTTACTCAGTCACCTCCCATTGCCACTAAATCGCACCACGATCCAGAGTTCCTTGTCACAGTGCTTTTGATTCTTTTTGTTGTTGTTACATTTAACATACTGGGGACTGAACAACACAGCTTGCCATAATTCAGTTACAAAAGGAAGTTTTTAGTGCAGACTTTCCGACATGGAAGTCAGACCATATGAGCCAGCACTGACTATCAGTATCCACGAGAAAAGAAGTATCTGATAAAACATGAGGACAAAGAAGGAGTACCAGGGCCTCTAGAATTCTTACAGATTAAACACTTACGATAATAAATTCAATTAGTCTGTTCCAATTATCCTCTAATTTGAAGTCCAACCTATCTTTAACAGACTTGTTCAACATCTAGTAGACTGATGCCCTAAGCCGTAATTCCATCTAAATCCATAGACATTTTCACTTAAATTTTCACTACTTTTGGTTCTTGAGATTATAATTGTTAAAATGATATCATAATTGATCGTGGGAGAAGAAAAATATTATAGAGAACAAGAAAGTGATAACGAAGTACACTTATACCATAGTGCATTTTTGAAAGACCTATTTTATTCTATATTTGTTTATAGACTACCACATAATTTGAGAAGAAAATTTAAAGATGTTTTCAACAAATAATTTTTCACAATTCGTTCTATTTATTTTCCTGTCTCAAAACATTACATATTTCCAGCAGAGTTAAAGTAAAACTCACCATTTTTAATAGAGTGGAGAAAAGTTAAAATATATAAGCAGCTGTTACCTGCTACTGGGTGGGTTGAACAGACCTGGGCAGCCCCATGCTCCTTCCTTTCCTCCACCCCTTGTCTCCAGCAACTTTTAATCTCACCTGGATTTCTCCAGAAAGCCTTGAACTCCATGAGAAAAAGCAGCTGAGTCGGCAAACATCTGCCTAATTCTTTTTCTAGGACAAAGATGTGCATGTTCCAAATGTCAACATTTTAAGGAAGAAATCTCCAGTGGAACATGCTAACTAGTATCTGCAAATGATCTCATCCTCAGAGAAACACACCACGCAGTGTGTCAAAAGACTTTAAATTCAATTCCTGGAGCAGCATCCTCTGTGTTCAAAGATCAATTGCATCAGACATATGTAACGGTATATGTCAAATACCCCGTGTTCCAACTTATAAGTGGGAGCTAAATAATGTGTCCACATGGCCATAGAGAATGGAACAATAGCCACTGGAGACTTGGAAGGGGAAAAGGGTAGGAGGCTGGGAGGAAGGTGAGGGGTGAAACATTACTTAATGGACACGATGTACACTATTCGGGTGATGGTTACACTAAAAGCCCAGACTTCACCACTACGCACTATATGTAACAAAACTGCACTTGTACCCCCTAAATCTATAAAAAATAAAGAAATAAAATAAAAGCAAATGGGGAAAATGCAGATTCCTGGGCTTTTCCTCAGACCTCAAATAGGCTCTGCCTGTTCAACATGCCCACTGCTGATCAAATCATCTGCGGGAATTCTTTCATTCAATGCTGATGGCGGCTCCGCGGGAAGAGTTGGTGGTCAATACCTGGGGTGGGGGTAATGGCATCAGTATTTATAAAGAATTCCACAGGCTACTCAAATGTGAACAGAGGGTGGAGAATTACTGCTCCAAGAGTTGGTAAAAGAAAGGACAAACGTCGAAAGATCCATTTCATTTTGATTTGCCACTGAAATGCCACTGAATTCTTCGTTAATGTGGAACAGTGAGAATGGCAAACGTATTAACTGGATTTAGAGTAATTATTAGTGAAGGATGGAGGGAATCACGTGAATAGAAGATCGAATGCTACAACTTCTCAACATAAAACAGGTTCACCGTGGCATTTCCATGACCTTGATTCTTAACCATGGCTGCTTTTTAGAATCCTCCAGGATTAAGCTTTTAAAAAATACCAGGGCCTGGGGCCCTCCTCCAGACCAATTAAATCAGAATCCATGGGGTTGGGGCCTGGGATCCTGCTTATTTTAACAGCTCCCGGGTGACTCCAGTGTGCAGCCAGCCGGAACACTCCACGGCTCTATGACACATGAGAAGCTGTTGAGTCACCTGCTATTGTCGACATCACAAGCGGGTCATGTTCTTTTCCAGACACTTGGAGACTAGGTCTTTAGGGGAAATGAATGCGTGGCACTGTCCTTTTGTCTCTTGTTTCCACTTCTTAAACCATCATCATTAGCATTCACTACTTCATTTGTGATAGCAATAATACCCAGATAATTTTGCCACTGATTTTCTTGCCAAAACTATGAAGCAGTCAGTTTTTTAGAGCAAAGTCCAGAAAGTTAGATTAGATCACTTGCAAATTTGTTAGTTAAAATTTGGGGGCACTGGGGGCGGGTAGTATTTGTGGAATTTTGTGATCTGTTGCTTGGCAACTATATCTAAGACAGTTAAGCTTGTGCACTCTGTAAACTGTTGGAGTTAAGAAGTTGGGTGAGCCCGGTCAATTGCTTGCTGCTACTGGAAGGAAATTAATTCTTCATTATGCAGAGGGCATGAAAAGTTGTCATTTAGAGCAGGCCATCCGTAGCTATGTCACACTTCTTCTACTTGACTCCACAGATTCTTCTGCCATTTAGCCCTCTTACTTCTCAAGAGTTTGATCTGATCAGACGCAAGGCTGGAGCATCTTGGCAGAATGAAACACGGTGGTCAGATTCTTCTGTGACAACATACGCAGGCAGTTACCGGAAAAAACAACTGGACAAGTTCACATGCAGCCGGTTTTCTTTCAGAGCAGGACAGCATAAGCCTGAGTGTAAACAGTAAGATTTCTTTGTCATTTGCACCTGGATATATCACTATAAATAGACGAGAGTGCTATTAGGAGAAAGAGGGCATTGTAAACCCCGAGAGATTTCACAGACCTTGACCCTGCATATTTTCCTGTGTAAATGTCAGTGGGAAAAAGAGCTAAGCGTCAGTGACCAGCTGAAATTAGAATTCCAGTCTCTATTTAGTACTCCTGAAATTACATCTACCTACCTACTCAGGAAAGTATACGGATTTGACTAAGTTGTAGATATTTGGAGTTCTCAGCAAAGAGGTGCTCCTGAGAATTTCATTTTGTTTCTTGTATAGTTTTCCCCATTGTCAGGAATTTAAGTTCCCTTAGAGCAGGAAGAAATCAACTAAATTCTCTACTCCGCACCTGTGGATAACAGTGCATGCAAGCACTGAGGGCCCAATAGACATTCTGAGTGTTTACTGAAAGCCAGGCCCTGTGATGGGCCCACAATCAAAAATTTAATTTCAGTTTGCAACTAATAGAAATAAGTCATCAGTGCAAGGGAAGAAGATTTTATCAGTGTCTAGGTGAGGGAGGGACTATTCTCTGTCTGAAAAGATCTCAGTAAAGCAGATTTCCTCTGAGCTGGGTTAGAAGGCAGGCAAGGTGGGCAGCAGAAAAGCACCCTGTGTGGAGGAAAGGGTGTGCACAGTGGCCAAATGGCGTTTAACCCCAAGCACCCCCAGGGAGCTGCAAGGAGCTCAGTGAGTTTGAGACAGAAAGTATAAGTGGGGATGTGGAAAAATGTGAGGACTCGTTATGACATTTGTCCCTCTGTATATTAATTGGTAAATATCTTACCCAAATTCTGGAAACCTATTTGAAAATCAATTGGATTGTTGGCTCCAACTTCAGATGTGAAGAATGACCCACGTAATACCCTATTAAATCCAGGTCTTTTCAAACAAAGTGCTTAAAGCTAGAATGCCTCAGAAGTACTTTCCAACTGGGTGCCTTGTCTGGTTTATTCCAACATACTATAGTTTCTGCATTTTTAATAGCTCTCAAGTATGTTGACACTTCAATTAGCTTGGAAAGTCCCTTTGCAAATTCTGTGATATTTTGAGGTACCTTTTGGCCAGATAGGGGAGTTGTCTTAGTCTGTTTTCTGCTGTTATAACAGAATATCACAGACCGAGTAAATTATAAATAATAGAAGTTTATTTGTCTTGTGGTTCTGGAGGCTGGGAAGTCGAAGAACATGACGCCAGCATCTGGCACAGTCATCCCATGGCAGAAAGATGGAAGGCAGAAGTGAGCACACAAGACAGACTTGCATTATAACAACCCACTCTCAAGATAACCAACCCACTCCCATGATTAATCCATGAGGGTTCTGCTCTCATGATCCAATCACTTTTTATTGGGCTGCCCGCTCCCAACACTGTTGCATCGGGGATTAAGTTTCCAGCACGTGAAATTTTGAGGGACACATTCAAACCATAACAGGAGTCTTTGAGCACTGCTGGGGTTCTTTCTGAAAAGAGTGTTTGAAAGCTGGTGTCCAAACAGACCCATTCACCATGCAGGAAAGAAAGTACTGTATTTAATAACCCTGAAAAAAATGTAGAAAAATGACATTTGGTGAAAATGCATAGAAATTTGAATTTGTTTCTTATTCAAAGTGCGATCATTACGTGAATCATTCCAACCAAGGCGGCCTGTGACATTGCAAACCATGAAAGGGCACAAGCTTGTGTGGTTTATCCATTTTTTGGAATCTCAGAAATGTAAATATATTTTTTGCACAACTACTACTTATTCTATTAGAGGCTAAGAAGAAACAAGTGTTATAAATGAAGATGGAGGGCAGATTGAGCTCATTTTGAAAGTACTGATTATATTCTAAATTTGCTTTTGTTTTTAATCTTTTTCATGGTTAATTTTAGCCCTGAGGACAAATGTCTTTTTAAGTTCTGAGCAAAAACTGTTTGATTAAAATTTTATAAGGCTATAGACAGACATTTTCCACTGCTATAAAATCCGAATTGTCCAAGGGGGATTAATTGAACAATGTATGAAATGACTGATCATTTAAAATGTAAGTCAGAAAAATATTAAAGTATAAAAAACAAATACTCTTTATTCATCATATTTATTCACCATCTACACTGAATATCCATAATGTATAAGACAGAAGAAACTTGGTAGAAGTCTTGATCATTCAGTTCTGTATCAGTTTTAACAGCAAATATGTGAAATTCATAAACATGCAAAAAGAAGGATCCTGCATTTGGAGAATGGAGATCAATGTGGCACTGAATTTAAGCCATTATGGAATATTGGTGTCAATCTCAGTTGTCTGCCAAGGTTCAAATAAGAGAAGAGTTGCATTTTGGAATTCCTAAGACAAGAATATGGTTTGCATATAAATTATTGTCTTGATGTTTTATTTGTTTGTTTATTAATTAAATATTTATTAAAGTCATACTATGTGTAAGGTCTATGTGTAGGTCTGGGGCTATATTCATGATCAAAACATATACAGGTACAGCCCCTGCCTTCATGGAGCATTTAGTCTAGTGAGGGAAATGATCACCAGGGAAACATACACCATTTGTGCTTTGAAGGAAACAAGAGGGAGCTTTGTTAAAAGGAAAGAGGGGTGGAAGTTTCTTACAAAACTAGACATAATCTTATATGATCCAGAAATCATGCTCCTGTGTATTTACCTTACTGATTTTAAAATGTATGTCCATGTGAATGTTGATAGCAGTTTTATTCATAATTGCCAGAAACTATTAATAGAAGGAACCAAGATGTCCTTCTATAGGTGAATGAATAAACAAACTATGGTACCTCCCCAAAATAGAATATTATTCAGTAATAAAAAGAAATGAGATATCAAGGCAGAAAAAGGCATGGATGAATCTGAGATCCATATTCCTAAGTGAAAAATGCCAGTCTGAAAAAAGTCACATACTGTATGATTCCAATGATATGACATTCTGACAAAACAAAATGAAGATGGCAACAGATCAGTGGTTGCCAAGGGATGGAGGAAGAGTTGATTAGGTGAAGCACAGGGATTTTTTAGTTTGTTGAACCTATTCTGAGTGATACTGTAATGGTGACTATAAGACATGATGTATTTGTCAGAACACATAGCACTTTATGGCACAAAGAGTAAACCTTAATATATGCAAATTGAAAAAAATTACTTACGAGGTTGGAGGATCCCAGAATGGAATACAGAATGTAACAAAGGAATCTATATGTACTACAGTTGTATGAAATAAAGTGCTGATCTAAGTAACTTTGGAAATAAGTGGAATTTTTAAGGTTATAAGGCCAAAGAAAATGTACATAAGCACTGTACTGTAGTTGATAAAGTTGTTATCCATGGGGGTTTGAGTAAAAATTCTTGAAACCACTATACATGCATACTGGAATTGAACAGTTAATAATTGGCAGATTGTGGGAGCCAGGTTTATTGCTGTTGGAGTGGGAGATTAAAGATAAGCAAGGGAGAGAGGCCTGAATAATCCATATAGTAATGTATTAGAATTGGATACATCTATATGAACTTATGTTTAGCTTAATATAGATATAGATGGTTACATATAAAAGTATTTATAGATAAGTATGTATACACAGGTTAGTGTGCACACATATATTTCCTTGTTCTTTGGAAGAAAGTCACCATGCTAAGCCCATATTAGCATGGACCATCAGCTAAGAGGGCCTAGAAGCAATACCTTGTCACAATGAACACACCTGGTGCCCAGATTTTGGTTTCTAATACCGTTCTCCAATCAAAGGAACCAGGGTTCCTTGGGGAGATGGCTGATTTTCAGACTGGGGCAGAAGATATACAAGATGAGCCTGGAACATCTCGTAGGGCCAGAAAGGACAAAAGTGCCAAAAAATAAAACAAAAAGAAAGCAAAACAAAAAGCCCACAATAGAGCCAACTGAAAGAGCTCCCCATGGCCAAAGCTAGAAAAAATTTGCACAACAAAATTAAGTAGTATTGGATTGTAACCCAATGTATAAAATAAATGTCCATGAATCAATTCTGGCACAAATAAATGAATGAATAATACAATAATTGAGGAAAAAAGGACAAATCTCCCATGCAGAAGAATTCCAAATAATTTATGTTTACTTTGTGCTTGAGGTGGTGGAGCATAACTCACCACTCCTTAAGTGTGAGCTGTGCATAGTGACTTTCTTCTAATAAATATGGAAAGGGAAAAGAGTAACTTTACAGTGGGGAAACCTGGCAAACACTACCTTAAGCCAGGTGATCAGATTAAGATTGACAATAATAAGCCATATTGATAGTCTATGTCCTTGATATGATTTGATAAGAATGGTAGCTTACCTCTTTGGTCTTCCTGTCTAAAACATATTATCCTCATCTAATCATGAGAAAGACATCAGAGAAATCCCAATTTAGGGACATCCTACAAAACACCTGGTTATTAATCATCATGTTGTCAAGGTTATAAAAACAAGGACTGTCTGAGAAACTGTCACTAGTATGAGGAGCATAACGTGATATGACTACTAAATGTAACATGGTATCCGAGATGGGATCCTGGAATAGAAGGAGGACGTTAGGGAAAACTTAGGAAATCTGAATGAAGTATGGACTCTAGTTAAAAATATGTCATCATTGGTTTATTAGTTTTTACAAATATGCCATAGTAATATAAGATACTAACAATACAGAAACCTAGGTGTGTGGTATAGGAAAACTTTCTGTATTACCTTCACAATATTTCTGTTAATCTGAAGGTATTCTGAAATTGAAATTTTATTTTTTAAAAAAGGGTCTGAGCTAATGCAATAAGGCAACAAAAGGAAAGAAATGGTATATAGTTGGGAAATGAAAAAAACAAAACTATCTTTATTTGCAGATGACATGATTATTTATATAGAAAATCTAAAAGAATCAGCAAAACAAAAAATTATCCTGGAACTAATAAGCAATTACAGCAAGATTGTAGGACACAAAGTTAATATACAAAAGTCAATTGTTTTCTATATACAAGCAATGAACAAGTGGAATTTGAAATAAAAAACACAACACCATTTACATTGGCATCCCCTAAAATGAAATACTTAGGTATAAATCTAACAAAATATGTACAAGATCTATATAAAGAAAACAAAAAATTCTGATGAAATAAATTAAAAAATAACTAAATAAATGGAGAGTTTTTTCATGTCCATAGATAGGAAGATTCAATACTGTCCAACATCTGTTCTTCCCAACGTGGTCTACGGATTCAATGAAATCATAATCAAAATTCCAAAAAGTTAGTCTTAGTTTGTGATTCTAAAGTTTATATGGAGGGAAAAAGACCAAGAATGGCCAACACAATATTGAAGGAAAAGAACAAAGTTGGAGGACTGATACTACCCAACTTCAATACTTACTATAAAGCTACAGTAATCAAGACAGTGTAGTACTGGCAAAAGAATAAATGAATAGATCAATGGAACAGAATAGCGAGCCCAGAAATAGACCCACATAAATACAGTCAACTGATCTTTAACAAGGGAGCATATTCTTATGATCAGAAAACAATGGGAAATGCTGTTTGGAAGAGGGTGAAAAATCTGTTCTAGCTACATGGCTACCTGATATTACACATGATGTCACTTAAAGGGCTTCTAAGTAGTCACTCTGTCAGAAGACACTGGATGTTCATGGGGGGTTCCCCTCTACTCTCCTTTATACTGCAAGATAAAGTTTATTTCTCTATGCCAACCTTGATCTCCCTCAATCAGCCTCATAGACACTTAGGAGGAATATAAGCCCAGAAAAGAGGAAAAGTTGTGATAACTGTAGCTAGACCTTTAGAATAGTCCCAGATTATTTGAAAAACAGTGATTTTACTTTCTGAATTCGTACTTACAGAGACAAATCCCTGAGTGAAAAAACAGCCAACATGTTGGGTAATGCTTCTCAAATCAAGTGGCACTGTGCCAGGGCTCACTGAAAGCCACAGGAGAAATAGGGAGTATCAGTTTGTTATAGCAGCAATAGAAAATTAACACAGGTGGAATGGAGAGCAGAAACATTTTTATAATAAAGAAAAATTTTGATAAATTTTTACAATAAAGGAAAATTAGCACAATATGAATTTTTTATAAATGCACAAATTAAAGCAGGAAATAAAAAATTAGTACTTATCAGGAACAGTTAAAAATGATTTTTTAAAAATGTGGCATACACTATGGCTAAATCATGTCTCTGGGAATCAATGTAATTAAAGATGTGTAAGATCTCCACACAGAAAACTAGAAAACATTCGTGAGAGAAAGTAAAGAACATCTAAGTAAATGGAGAGATAAACCATGTTCATGGATTGAAAGACAACATTGTACAAATGTCAGTTATCCTCAAATTGATTGATAGATTCAATACCATTTCAATAGGTGTTTTTCATGGAATTTGACAAGATGATTCTAAAATTTATTTGGAAATATAAAGGGCCAGGAAGCTGGGACATTCTCACAAAAGAACAAGGTAAGAAGGCCTGTTTTACAGATAACAAATTAATTATAAAGCTTCAGTAATTAATGCAGGGTGGTATTATGGCACTAGAATAAACAAAGACCAATGGAACAGAATAAAAAGCCAAGAGACAGACTCATGCATATATGAGCACTTGATTTATCAAAAAAAGGTGGCAGAGCAGTAGAGAAAGGCCATGTTTTCAACTCCAGGTGGATTACTTCAGGTGAATTAAAGACCAAAATGTAAAAGGCAAATCAATGAGATGACAATTAGATGACCATTAGATGACAATATAGAGAATATCTTGATGTTCTTGAGATTGCCGAAGATTTCTCAAACAGAACACAAAAAGCACTAAACACAAAGAAAATCAGAAAAATTGGACTACCTTAAAATTAAGTATTAATAGTTCTGTTCAATCAAATACATAAAGGTATAAAAAGGCAAGCCACGGAAAGGAAGAAGATATTTTCAACTCAGTGACTGATTCAAAGGGCTTGGATCTATGAGACAGATGATAAATAGATACAAATGAAGAACTCCTAAAAATTAGTACCAAAACAGATAACACACTAGAAAAATGGGAAAGAAGCTTCAAAATGAAATTAATAAACCAAGATACCCAAATAAGCAGTAAACATATCAAAGGGGTTCAACCACATTAGCAATCAGGAAATGCAAATTAAAATCACAATGAACTTACTCTACGCACCCTCTAGAAAGTTTAAAATTTAAATGACCATCAGTACTTAGTGTTGCTAAGGATGTGGAAGAATGAGATCTCTCATATACAGCTAGAGGGATGTACACTGATACAGCTTTTTAGAAAACTATTTGGTCTTATCTTCTAAAGTTGACTCTATGGATATCCTAAGACTTAGCAATTTTACTCCTAAGTATATAACCAACTGAAATATATTCGCACATGTTGTACCAAGAGACATGTACAAGAATGTCTATAGCAGTATTTTTCATAATAGCCAAAAAACCAAAAACAAGTGAATTGTAGAATAAACACTATTCATCAACAGCAGAATATGTAGACAGTGGTGAGTTCATATGATGGAATAATAATATATAGCAATGAATAAGAACAAACTATGGTTACACTCAATAATGTACACATTCTGAGCCAGAAGCAATTATACATACTATATAATTCTGTTTATATAAAATTCAAAAAAAACAGCCCAAACCAAACTGTTTGGTGATAAAAAACAAAGAAAATAGAGAAGTGAAGAAGTGATTCCCATAGAAGTCAGGAAACTGACCCACTGACTACCTGTATCAGAGCCATCTGTCCCAAACTACTGAAAAATAATTACTGGGAGTTGAGCTCATAAATCTGCATATTTAAATTAATACCTTCGGGTGATTCAATTGCTGGTGAAGATTAGAAGAAGGAAGATGCAAGGTGGACCACCAGCCACTGTCTCAGGGATGATTAGGGCTGGTTTGTGGGCTGAATACACATATAGGAGCGTTTTAGGACTCTAGCCTGGCATAATTTCATTCTACCCCTACCTCATACAGAAAGTTATAGCTTCCTGAAGGTTGGAGACCCTCTTCCCTCAATCAGAGGCCATAAAACAATTATCACCATCTGTTTGTACTTGAGGAGTTGATAACTTTGTTCATTCTGTTACAAAATAACTCCTGCTTGCTTAAAAAGGGTGTTCTGTCTGGATTCGGGGAAATGGAGATGCAGATGTGTTTGAAAGGATAGACATTGCATTTACGAGTCTCGAAATTACTCCACTGATAATTAAGTTTTCAGTTTTATTTGGAAATAAGCATAATAACTGTAATCTTTCATATTCCATTCATAGCGCTTATCTTATTTTAAAAACAACTCCCTAGAAAAACACTCATAAATCCTGTTGAAATACTTATAAACTTAATGTGTGAGCTTTTCATACACAGAAGTTGAAAATTTTATCCTTTTATGACAAATCAGAGAACAAATCGCTAAAGACAAGAGAAATTCTCATTTGCGTTGATTTAATGGGAGTGTGGGGTTATGGTTGGGAGTGCGGAAAGAGGGAAGAGAAGCAGCAAAAGTTTAAGAAGCCAAATGAAAAAATTGAGTGAAATCCCTATAAATCTGTAGGCTTCATGTGATTTATAAATCCATAAACTTATAACTTGTTTCTTCTACTTGCTTTCTTTAGGATGCCATTGCCAAACAGGTCTGCCTGGAATCTGCCACTCCGCCAGGCCAGTACCCAGGAGACTACGGATGTTAAAGGTAAGTGCAACATGATCAGTTTTTCTGAGCCCTTTTGCCCAGGTTACTGTGTTTCTTTTAGGTTCTTTCTCCCCCCAGCTTTACTGAGGTATGATTGACAAATAAAAATTATATATATTTGAGATGTACAACATAATGTTCGGATATATGTATATATTGTGAAATGATTACCACAATCAAGCTAATAGCATATCAGTCACTTCATAAAGTTACCGTGTGTGTGTGTGTGTGTGTGTGTGTGTGTGTGTGTGTGTGTGTGTTTGTATGTGGGGGGGTTAGGGGGGTGTGTAGTGAGAACACTTGCGATCTACTCTCAGCAAATTTCAAGTATACATTTTTATTAACCATAATCACTGTGCTGTACATTAGATCCCCAGAACTTCTTTACCTTTCACTGAAAGTTTGGACCCTTTGACCAACATCTCCCCATTGCCCTCACCCTACAGCTCCTGGTAACCACCATTCTACTCTCTGTTTCTATTAAGTTTGACTTTTTTACATTTGACGTATAAGTGAGATCATGCAGTATTTGTATTTCTGTGCCTGGCTTATTTCACTTAGCGTAAGGTCCTCCAGGTTCATTCACATTGTCACAAGTGGCAGGATTTTCTTTTTTTTTAAGGCTGAATAGTATTATTATATGTATATACCACATTTTCTTCATCCATTCATTAGTGGACACTTAGGTTGTTTCTATATCTTGACTACCGTGAATAATGACGCAATGAACACGGGAGTGCAGATATCTCTTCAAGATAATGAATTTGTTTCCTTTGGACATGTATCAGTGGGATTGCTGGATCACATAGTAATTCCATTTTTAATTTTTTGAGAAACTTCTATACTGTTTTCCATAATGGCTGTACCAATTTACATTCCCACCAACAGTGCACAAGGGTTCCCTCTTCACCACATCTTTGCCGACACTTGTTATCATTTGACTTTTTCATAGTAGCCATCCTAACAGGTGTGAGGTGATATTTGACTGTGGTGTTGATTTCCACTTCCCATTTCCCTGATGATCATTGATGTTGAGAGCATTTTTATAATATACACTTTTCGGCCATTTGTATGTGTTCTTTGGAAAAATGTCCATTCAAGTCATTTGCCAATTTTTTTTATCAGGTTATTTGTTATTGAGTTATACGAGTGCCTTTTATGTTTTGGATATTAACCCCATATCTGAGATATGGTTTGCAATTATTTTCTCCCATTCTGTAGGATGTCTTTTCATTTTGTTGATAATTTCTTTTCTGGTGCAGAAACATTTTAGTTTGATATAGTCTCACTTGTTTATTTTTGCTCTAGTTGCCTTTGCTATTGATGTCACATTCCCCCCAAAAAACAAACAAACAAACATACAAAAAAACCAGCAAGTGCTGATGGAGAAGCTGCAGTAAGCTATCCAGAAGATCTAGCTAAGATAATTGACGAAGGTGGCTACCCTAAACAGATTTTCAATGTAGATCAAACAGCCTGATTTTGGAAGAAGATGCCATCTAGAACTTTTCATAGCTAGAGAGAAGTCAAGACCTGGCTTCAAAACTTCAAAGGACAGGCTGATTCTCTTATTAGGGGCTAATGCAGCTGGTGACTTTAAGTTGAACCCAATGCTCATTTTCCATTCTGAAAATCCTAGGTCGCTTAAACATTGAGCTAAATCTACTCAGCCTCTGCTCTATAAATGGAACAACAAAGCTTGGGTGACAGCACATCTGTTTACAGCATGGTTTACTGAATATTTTAAGCCTACTGTTGAGAACTACTGCTCAGAAAAAAAGATTCCTTTCAAAATATTACTGCTCATTGACAATGCACTCGGACACGTATGAGCTCTTATAGAGATGTACAAGGATATTCATGTTGTTTTCATGCCTGCTAACACAATATTCATTCTGCAGTCTGTGGATCAAGTAGTAATTTTGACTTTTAAGTCTTATAACTTAAGAAATACATTTTATAAGGCTAGAGCTGCCACAGAGATTCTTCTGATGGATTTGGGCAAAGTTAATTGAAAACCTTCTGGAATGCACTCACCATTCTAGATGCCATCAGGAACATTCATGATTCATGGGAGAAGGTCAAAATTTCAACATTAATAGGAGTTTGGAAGATGTCGATTCCAGTCCTCATGGATGACTTTGAGGAGCTTAAGAATTCAGTGGAGGGCCGGGCGCGGTGGCTCACGCCTGTAATCCTAGCACTCTGGGAGGCCAAGGCGGGCAGATTGTTTGAGCTCAGGAGTTCGAGACCAGCCTGAGCAAGAGCGAGACCCCATCTCTACCAAAAATAGAAAGAAATTAATCGGACAACTAAAAATATATAGAAAAAATTAGCCGGGCATGGTGGCGCATGCCTGTAGTCCCCCTACTCGGGAGGCTGGGGCAGTAGGATCACTTGAGCCCAGGAGTTTGAGGTTGCTGTGAGCTAGGCTGACGCCACGGCACTCACTCTAGCCAGGGCAACAGAGTGAGACTCTGTCTCAAAAAAAAAAAAAAAAAAGAATTCAGTGGATGTCTGCAGATGTGGTGGAAACAGCAAGAGAACTAGAAGTGGAGCCTTAAGATGGGAAGAGCCTTAAGACTGAATGGCTGCAATCTTATGAGTTAAATGGATGAGGAGTTGCTTCTTATGGATGAGCAAGAAAAGTGGTTTCTTGAGATGGAATCTACTCCTGGTGAAGACACTTCGAACATTGTTGAAATGACAACAAAGGATTTAGAATATTACATGAACTGAATTGATAAAGCAGCAGCAGAGTTTGAGAGGACTGACTCCAGTTTTGAAAGAAGTTCTACCGTGGGTAAAATGCTATCAAACTGCATCAGATGCTACAGAGAAATCTTTCGTGAAAGGAAGAGTCAATCAATGTGGCAAACTTCATTGTTGTCTTACTGTAAGAAATATCTACAGCCACCCCAAACTTCAGCAACCACCGCCCGATCAATCAGCAGCCATCAACATCAAGGCAAGACCCTCCACCAGCAAAATGATTATGACTTGCTGAAGGCTCATATATTAGTGTTTTTTTTACCAATAAAATATTTTTAATTAAAGTATTTCCATTTTTAAGACATACTGCTATCACACATTTAATAGGCTACAGTATAATATAAACATAACTTCTATATGCAATGGGAAGCAAAAAATTCATGTTACTCATTTGATTGATACTCACTTTATTACAGTGGTCTGGAACTGAACCCACACCATCTCTGAGGTATAGCCATATACAACACAATTTTATGGGATATGTATAGATAGTAAAAAGTTACTAAATGAAGAAAATTAACATATCTATCATTTCACATAGTTATGCATTTTTTTTGTTTTTGTGGCAAGAGCAGCTAAAATCTACTTATTTAGCATAAACCCCATATGCAGTACAATTTTATTACCTACGGTCCTCATGTTGTATATTAGATTTCTAGACTTGTTCACCCTATATATCTGCTACTTTGTATCCTCTGACCTACCTATTCTGGTTGTTGTTTGATTTCTATCTCTTTGCTGAAATTCTCATTTCATTCATGTATTGTTTTCCTGATTTCTCTGAATTGTCTGTGTTCTCTTGCAGCTTGCTATGCTTCCTTAAAACAATTATTTTGAATTATTTGTCAGGAAATTTATAGATCTTCATGGGAGGGTTTGGTTACTGGAAAATTATGGTGTTTCTTTGGTGGTATCATGTTTCCTTGATTTTTCATATTCCCTATGTCTTGAGTTTCTGTCTTCACGTTTGAAGATGCAGTCATGTCCTCCAGTCTCTCCTGACTGGCCTCAGGATAGAAAACTGTCACCAGTCAGCTCAGAGAGGGATTTTGAGGCTCTCTCTCAGACCTTTTCTATGCATGCACCTGCTCCATGCTTCTTGCTCCCTCTTTGGAGGGAATTCTTAAGATTGTATGCCTTCTCTCAATCCTGAAAAGCCAGGCCAGATGCTGAGAGCCTCCTGTTTGTTTTCCCAGGGGAGGTGCCCTGAAATGGTCAAATTTCTCCCAATCCCATGGAGTTGGGCTGTCTGTCTGTGCATGCCATCCAGCCGAGGCTTACACGCTGTATCCACGGGGATGCATGTGAGGAACAGGCTACAGGGTGGAGATAGTGAAGCACGTGGGACAATGGTGGTGCCTCTGGGTTAGTTGGGGTGGTCTGCAGGTGAAGCAACCCAAGCAGCATATGGGTGAGCGTTCTGATGAAGTCCCTGAAGCGGAAAGTAGGACCCATGGCCTTTTGTGGAGTTCCGAACCTTGGCTGCTGTGAGTCCCTGCCCATCTTCCCTGCTCTCAGCCTCCCTCAACCACTCAGCTGTGCTAACTACCTCAATATTCTGTGTGAGGTGAGAAAGAAGTCAGCCTCTTGGGCAGTGTCAAGCACGGCTGGAGGAGCCCGGTGCTCACTCACTACACTCTCACTTTTTCCCGTGGAAGACATCATGGGCTCAGGAGATGTCTCTCGGCATGGAGTTGTGCTGCCCTGGGGGAAGGCTGACAAAGGTAAAGGGAAATTGTTCTTTTTACCCTCTTCAAGGCATCTATTCTTGGAATTTTTATTCCAATAGTGTGCTGGAACTTCTCTACTAGACACATGGGCTCCCACAAAGGTACTGTCATCTGTGGGTGGTTGTCAAAATCAATACTTCCAGGGGAAGATGATGGTAGAAAACTCCTATTCCACCATCTTACTGAAATCACTCTCCTCTCCCTTTAGGATCTTGATTATAGCCCATATGGCTCCCATTTGCCTAATAAAGGCAAGAAAACGACCATGTTCCCCTCTGGATATGTGGCTCTTAAAAATGACAGTTCTTCCAAGGCAAAAAAAAAGTTTCTTCTTTATATTAATCCCAGAATGTAACTTCCACCAGAGCTTGGAGTGCTAGATAATATAATCTGAGCTTTACTGGGTACACCAAAGAACTAAGAATAGAAACCAAAACTATTAGGTTGGTGTAAGTAATTGCAGTTTCAGACTGTGAATTTTAAATCGTTATAACTAGG